AAGAGGGAAAAAGGGGGGGGGAAGTGTAGGGGGGGGGGGGGGGGGGGGGGGGGGGGGGGGGGAGGTGCAAAAAATACATTATTTATTCGGAAGACAGATACTACACCGTGTGGCTTCCGTGAGAATCGTTATCGATGATTTTCATTATTATCATTAACCCTCGTTCGTTTTGAACCACGGAAGAACCGCATCGGTTATTTATGTAACAGAAACACTTCGTTGAGAAAGCTGCCTTAGAAAATTGTAAACAGAAATGTTCACAGTTTGTACGTCGGTTATCATCGAGCCTGTTAACGTCACGTTCGCATTTATCGGGTGTTCGTCAGCGATGGACGCGGTGATTCGCGTCATTTCATTATTTTAAAATACGGCGTGCTGTAATTCGATCGCCCGACTTCAGGAAGTTAAGTAATGCAATTTAGGCGAGCATGCTGAATTGATAGCTAATGGAAAGCGTGGTTATCGTTGTGGTCGTGTAGCAGGTCCTGCGTAATAGCAACCGGGAGTGGAAAAATTGAGTCGTTTTATTTTCAGTCAGACCAAATTGTGTCCAAGTTACTCTTTGTATGATATTTTTTTTTTCAAAATTGCTCGCAACTTTAAATATTATACATGATCTGTCATGTAAGTCCCTAAAACTAGAGTCTTCTGGCCCAGGCTAGAAGCGTTCTTCATGATCGTTTTAAGGAGAATTAAGGTGGAAAAGGACAGACGTATATTTTTAATGATTGTTTCAGGGAACCATACGACTACAATCCCCTCCTGATCAGTGCACTCTCCGTGGTGAAGTATAAGAGCACGCAGATGGACCTGGTGCGAGTGGAAACCAGGAATCAGATTCTATTCTCGTTCTTATCCGTCGGCTGGGGTTTGCTAGCAGACATTGACATCGAAAGCGAACGTCTGCGAGCGATAGGAGGTCAAAGATTCACCGTTTGGAGCGTTGCTCGTCTCATAGGGTTGAGAACCTACAGGGGCAAGGTATCTTACTTGCCCTGCGATAAAGTACCGTCCGTCGAAAACCTGGGCAACGGGAAGGCCTACAACGAATACGTGAAAGACACCCAGATCTCGCACTCGAGGAGTTACGGCGATGACTTGGACAGGTGAATCTCTTTGTCTTTGTAATCGTCACAGAGAGTTTGAATTGAATTTTCATTGCCTACAATTTTTGATGTTGATGAACACTAGTCCAGATCTCTCAAACACGCCCATCTGGGAAGAAATTGTATATTCGGGACATTCAAGAGTCAACATCTTTTGCTTGAAACGTATTTTTTTATCCTGAAAACTGCAATAGTTATTTAAGTGGAATAGCGATCACGAGTATTCACAAATATATGATTTGCTAACAGTTAAGATACAATTTTGTTCACTGCATCATGGTCTATTTGTGACTCAGCAACTTTGGTTCCAAGCATCCTTTTCTGTCTGAGAAACTGTGATAGTTATTTAAGTAGTTTGCCTTGGCTGTCTCAATGACAAGTTCGATGAGACAGATGGAATTTATTTGGCGATTGAAACTTCTTCCCGGATAAGAACCTTTTGGACGGTTGAAAAGATTTGTGAAACATGAAAATGAATTGCAAACACCTCTGGATTAGGTTCTCTGCTTATTAATAAGTGCGAAGTAACTGTTACCTCTTTCGTTTTAGGTGTAGCAAGATCAGCGAGTCGAAGAGCTTCCATGACGCGCTTGACGCAGATCCAGCTATTCTAGACGACTTCGACGGCTGTGATGATAGCGAGATAATAAGCGAGAGTATTACACTCGAGACAGATGCAGAGAGGAGGCACAGGCTAGATAGCTTCTATTCAACGACCTCCGCGAGGTCAACTTACTTTAGTACGGGTTCAATTTCTAGTTATCACAGCGTCGTCGAACCAGACGCCGAGGAAATCGGTGGGTACCTAACTTTTCATCCAGTTAGGGTCTTCCTTTGCACAACTCCCAAGTTCTCTTCATTTCATCAAGCCATACCGTACATCTACCTAAATCTACTTACTCTAAAAAGCAAGCAGCACAACTCTAAAATGCTTTGAAAACAAAAAACAATAGATTCTCTGTTACTTGTATCGTTGCTATTCGAATTGTAGTTGAAATAATCATTTTTATATAATCAAGATGCAGAGAACAACATCAACCAAGTTATGTACGGCCCCTCTTCGAGATTGCCTGCTTTGACGTCAGAGGTGTCGAGTTCCTGGACGCAAATTCAAGGTGAGAAACTTGGTTTTAATGCACCTTAGGTACACTTTAAGTACACTTCGCTTCATTCTCTAATTATAGAAACTCTTGGATCATTTCAAGCAGCATTTTCTTATCTTTTTCTATCGAAAATGTATCCATTGTGTTCTCTTCGAATCCTTATCATAGTGTACTTTTACCGAGCATCATGAAAATAAGAGATGCGTCTAGCGAAGCTAACTCAAATAGCAGCCCTTTTCTTGCTGAAGTATGCGTACGTCTTATGCATTGTTGCATATTCAGCGCCTTTATCCGTCCGCGATCCTATTATAGATATGGTATCGTAGCCGCATTTGTTTCGTGCTGAAAACCGTGCAGAACGTCAAGGACAGACACTGATGCGAGCTGTTTTGCTCACCATGACCTGTATTTGGACATAATATACGAGCACACCTTGCTCGACGATAGTAGAATTGTCTTACCAGAAGCGAAACGCGAAGGAAAACATAGCCAGGACATTACAAATTACAGTAGTTAATCACCATGAAATATAATCAAGCGATTTTAATCGTGGCAAGGGCAGTGGCTCAAGGTTAAACCTGTTGTATGTTTCAGGCGAGTTCGTTATGGTTCACGCGGCATATCAGTCACACTTGGGCCAGGATTACTTCTTCGCGCCCCGTGCCAAGTTGTCGGATGGTATTATTTGGCTCATAATAGTTAAAGCCGGTATTACACGAGTCAATTTACTTCAGGTAAATAGTCCAATTAAATACATTACTTCCGACCGCTGTAATTAATTGTCAATTGAAACATGCTGTTGAGAGAATTACACCGCCGAAGTTGTACGGCTTGGTAGCACTGATTGCGATCATCTTATACTATTTCATTAATAATGTAGATGCTTGCAGAAAAAACAGTAAAGTCAATATGACTAGGATATCAGAACAGTAAAGTCAATATGAATATCGCTAGCAACAAGTATCATAGTTCAATCCCTTCACAGTTGACACTCTAAGCTTAATAATTTCTATGCTGTATAATGATTCCAAGGGGGATCACTAACGTATTCTTTGAAAAACGATATTAGTCACAAAAGAACGTAGCTTCTGCAATAAAGAAACAAAAGAAGTATCATTTTGGGGAGGATTAGGTACGCTTCTGTGGACTGTGAAAGGTTTGAGACATAGAGCTATTTACCATAGATGTGATTACATTGTCTTAAAGAGTGCTTGTTGTGCCTATTAGTTCCTGTTGGGTTTAAGTAATGGTACCCATCTAACACGTTCTGGCATCGACATGATACCGGTAAAGGCATTTCGAATAGAACCAGAGGAGGACGTTAATGGTCACATAACCGTCGATGGAGAACGAGTAGACTATGGACCGTTGCAGGCAGAAATATTCCCGTCTTTAGCGTCGGTAATGTCTCCTTGATACAAATGACAGTCAACCGTGTAAGGAGCTAGCAAATGGAAAATGAAATGGTACAATCCTAGAACGTGAACGTTCAATTATTATGGTAGTATGGTCGAGGCGACAATACTGTATTAATATATTTAATGTATATTCGGGATTGGTACTTTAGTCTAAAAGCGGTGATAGGTGTATATTCTAGACTGTCAATGTAACACGAAAATCATTCCATACCATGTAATCAATGTATTTTTCATTTCATGGAAACGATACAACGCGCATTATAGTCTCTGCAAACTCAATGGTTGTCACACTTAATGTTATTCATACTGATATCATTCCAATAGTGCTCGTTAACTAGTAACAATTCAATTACATTCGTTAGCTTAAGATTTATCTTCCGGGCAGTTTCCTGTACGACGCACAATTATTCCACTGGCTTTACACTAGTTAGCAGGCACTATTGTTACAGCTGATGGCATAAGGATAAGCTCCGCGAAATTTTGTTTCTCATTACTTACCTAAAAAGGTCATTTCATTTAATTGTTTTCGTACTCGCGTATTGTACACCCCTGTCTGTATGAAGTATTCGATCGAACAAATCAACCGTCTTATCATTACAATTATTCAATCAAATTTTCTTACAATCTTCATCGTTCAAAGTGTTAAAAAGAGAATGTTTAAATGCATAGTATTTTATATTTGTTAAGAGAAGAATAATATCTGTTATTTTATTAATATACTTCTTTTTAAATTGTTATTTCCCGTTTCGATTGAATGCTTTCTGCCAGGAGTAATGCATTGTATTTCTGATATAATTGTTTTACTGATGCGTCGTGGCTTCCAATATTAGCGCAGAACAAGGACTACATAAGTAAGTCAGAACAACTCTGTACAAACATACTGATTTTGTAGCTTAAATGCATTTTATGAGCAAGAAATGGTACACTGTTACATGGTCCAACATCAGCGATACAATATTGATTTTACAGCAATAGTGCTCAAATTTTATACACAAACAAACAAACACACACATACACGCGCGCGCGCACGCGCAAATATATAATTAGTGAATTGCATTTACTATTAATGAGAAAATAAAAGTCAGTCTTTCGGTACAAGTTAGAGTTTACTATAGCTTCTTGTCTTATGCTCATATTCGAAGTATTTTTTTAGAATATTGTTAATTACATTATCTGATGTAAGAACATATCATGATTATCGAAGTAGCGTGCGACATGTTTAAGAATGTCATACCTAATCATGAGCATATAGATATACCGCGTAAGTAATATTTGTAAATAAAGTATAATTACGAAACGCAAGAGAAATATTTGATATTGTATTAGAAAAGAAGATATTAAAACAATTATATTATAATAAGATATACTTACAAAGTTATCTTATATATTGTTATTGAATTGCACACTTTGATATCAAGAGAAAAAGTTTTCGAAATGCATTTTTTCTGTGTTTCCTAGTTCACGAGCATCTCAACAAAAATCTAACAATTTTTGTTGAACGCGTGCATACGTGATATTTATTAGTTTTGTATAAATTATATTGCATAGAATTCCGGCGATTGTAAATTTGTGCCAAGAGACGCGCGAGGTTTATCGTCTATTAATACATGATTTTTTAATTATCCTTCTTATGCCAAATTTTATGTTTATATAGGCTGTATTACGAATGTATAGAATAATTATGCATAAGTACCGTTCCGTTAATTTTTGTATTGTGCAGAACAATGAATCTTGTAAATGGATATTATTTTTGTTAAAACATAAATGAATTGCAATAATTTCTATTTAACAATTTTTTTAAAGAAAGAGAATATTTAAATCATATATAAATTTAAAAAATTTCATTTTTAATTCACAGACAATCACAGAAAATACGGCTCTGATTTAATTTCAATTGCGTTAGTAAGAAGCAACATTGTAAAGTTCAGTCTGTTTTTCGGTTTATGTGACATAAAAATAATGAATTCACTGCATTGTAAAATAGAATTATTTAATTAAAAAGAATGTTTAAATAGCACACTTGTTTGAGATATGCTCCGTTATCACTCGAAGTGAAACTTATTTGTCATCCTTGAAAAGTGTATATATGAAAAGTCCATGTATATGTACTTTTGTTATTCCGCACTTTTTCGCGGAAATAATCGTTAACGTTTTTAAAAGTGAATCCTCCGTTAATGTTGACTTTAATAAAAATTATTGAACAAAATAATAATTGTAGATGATAATAAATTTCATAGTATAAACAGATTATTATTCCATAGATCCTTAAAACCGCATGAAACATACTCCATCCTTGTTCGGTCATAAATATGTCATACAATGGACTAGAAAAATTCATTATCTGTCTATTTATCTTAAATACAATTAACTCCTGTGATGACTGTACACGACGCACCTTGCACATAAAGTTTAAGAGAAACGCAATAGTTTGGATGTATCAATTTATAATTTATTTATTATTAATACGTAGTACAAGAAAAGTAGTATAATTCTCACTTTAAATACTAGTTAGAGTAATAACCCAAGTTTCTATTCTTCTATGTTGATTGGATTACGGATATTAATGGATCAATAAACACTTTGCTGCACCGAGTTTCGGTAAAATATGTTATAAGTGCATAAACATCCGCAGTTTAATGATAATGCGTCCTCTGTGGTACTCAGTAATAACAAAGACACAGTAACAAGACATTAAAGAACATTTGTAAAATATCATATAGTGTACAAAATCAATAATTTCTTTTAATACATTTGTTTAATAGCTTCCGGGGAAGATATATATGCGCTGTACATATAATATATACATAACATATATGTATGTCCCTATCAAAATGAGATACTTTGTAAAGTTCTACAAGTACCGCTAGCAAAATAATTACTTATGTACAGAAAGTATGAAGTAATTACAGAAGTTATTTACATGACTCCGTTCCCAAACGGAGAGTACTAGCTGGTACAGTTTATCTTAATTAAATATTGTATGTTCATTTTGCAAAAGTATTGTAATGTGTCTAACATTCGTTCCCTCATATAGGATGCTAAAACAATTGTATTATTCCAAATGCTGGAAAAGTTTCCTCTGCCAAACATTCCTTTTTCACAGTGACGAACTGCATTTTTCAAATTTAATGTCAGTGCAATCGTTACATAAATATTCGGTTACTTCTGCTAAATATTGACAGCTTTAATTTCACACTCTCGAGTAGAACCATCAGACAGATAAATGTATAATGCTTATAGTTTATCTCATTTTTATACATTAGCATTGCAGCTGCAAGTAGAATAAAAAGTATAAGCTGATTCAGTAATGATACTGCTTTAAAACATAGATAAACTGCTTTTTTGCAAAAGTTACTTACTGAGTATCAAATAACAGAAACTTAAAAAAGTGCGTGCATTAGAGTATGAATATGAAAATAAATGTATAGCAATTCTCTCTTATAAATATCTACATACACTAAACCTTTCGGCCGAGTAATACTTTATTTGCAGCTTTTGTCGGTATTTGAAATAAATTTTGTCTTAAACTATTAAAAACATTATCGAAACAAGAATGATTTATGCAAAATCCTATGAGTTGCAAACATTTAATGAGAACTTACATAACTCATAAGTGAATGAGTTAACTTTTAATTTTGTTGTAAATGTATTTTATGATCATCCTAAAATTTAGTTTCTTTTATGACCGATAGCGATATTAATCTGTGTTAGATATATATTTTCGATTAACGATCGGAACATTTGTTAAAAAAAGATTAATTAAGGAACCAAGAAAATACAACTTGCGAAAATGTTATTAAAGATTAACTAACAGATTTTCAACAGTATTTTCAGTCTTGCTGATGTGATTCAGTTATAATTCTTACGTTTTCTTAAGTGAAAATATTAAATGCTGCTCAACGTAAGAATTTAAAACAAACTTTTCCCGGAATTGTGTTAAATATATAAATAAAACTCGTTACTTGCGTAACAGATAGTGTAAAGTATTAATCTCTTATTTAATTTCACGTTCTGTTGAGTTTGTCAATGAAACTGGCAATGCGATGATTGTAAACATTTAATTCATAATATAAAAAGAGTTCAAATTAGCCAACAAGTCTTTCATACCATCTTAAATTTGGTTGGATGCATTTGATAACGATAAACGCGAATAAAATGTGCTCAACGCTTCTACCGCTTCTTGAGAGTTTTTTTGCTGTTGTAGATAAGTTAATAACAAATTAATTATATCATGAACCTGTTTTTTTACCGTTTGTATATCATCTACCTTAGAATCAGAATAAAAATTCGGAAATAATTTTAACTTCTCTTGCGCCAATTGCAGCGCGTTATAACCATCACCATCTCGAGTCACAATCTTCGCTCCCGCTTTCAAGAGAAGTGACACAACGGATATACAACAAGTCAGCGACGCCAAGTGTAATGGAGTGTTACCTGCTCTGTCACGATGATTAGGATTTGCACCGTGTTGCAGTAATAACTGCACCATTTCTGGGTAACCCCTGTTGAGTCAAAAAAGAATAATTATGTGCGCTGTATCAACACTTTAGTTACAAGTACACAAAAAAATTGCCCAATATCAATCTTGTGGCAGCATACTGCTCATTTCAAGTATTGGTTCAACATATTTAAAGACTTACTGGCTACAAGCAATGTGCAAAGGTGTCTGTCCTTTATCATCTAAAATATTAGGAGATATTCCATTGTCCAATAATTTTTCCATTATCTCTGTATTATTTGTGCATGCTGCCAATCGCATTTTAATACCTAAAGTTCTATTAAATCTATCGTAGTATGGCCAACAAACAGGACGATCTCGTGATGAAACGAATGATTTAATTTTTCCAGAATAATGAGGTTCTTGAAGGAAAAGAAAATACACGTATAAATTAACTGCTACAAACATTATACAGGAATCCATTTTTAGAAATTACATACTATATCTTATAACGTTTGTGGACCTCGAATATGCACATGGAAGACTCTGCAGCTTCAAATGCTAAAATAGTTGTTGTTAAATAATGTTTTCACGATAACTTCTTCAGAAATTGTTTAATATTTAACCGAAATAATACATCACCTCATGAAAAGATCCGTAACTGTGTTGTAATGGCGCGCTTATCGGCACCGAAATTCTATTATTTTCAGTATCCGTAGAACTTTGCATCGCGGAGAAAGATGAGATCGGCGATTGCATGCTGAAAGACCTTGCTTGAATGAAGAAAGTATTCGGTCCGCTCTCGCAATTGGATGTTGTTGTCAACGAAGTTGTTATTGTTGTTGTTGTTGTTGTGGCCACAGTAGAGTTGACAGTACCGATCTGGCTCACCGACAGATTTTCATGCTGCGTGATTGAACTGTCGTTTGAATCATTGCCCATTTCTACCCCGGAATCCATTGACGTCATTTTACATTAAAACATCCGGTAACGTTTTACAAATACAATTATTCACCACTTAAATCTGACATGGACTAATATCGGAGTATAGGAATATCGTGTCCATTTCAGACTGAAAGGCGCAGAATTGCTATACATAATGTGCAATGTGCAAGCAGTGCATGTAGTCAACACTTTTTCCATTCTTTATACAAAGCATGTAGCCCTCTGCGGATGTTTCTTGCACCAGCTTAATAAATGTTGCTCTTCTTTACCATATGACCTAATAATTTCTAGATTATTATGGATAGGCAAGATTAATTAAATATATATGTAATAGAACATAACATCATTTGCTGTTGAAGCGTGAAAATCATGGAGAAGGAATTCTAGATTCAGAAGAAGTATTAAATCAGAATCGAATATCCAAAAACCGAGGAAGAGAATTTTCCTGATGTTCCTAAATATCTATTTTTTGAGTATTTATCCCGATTGATATTTGGCAGCCATGAACGGCACGTGCTCTTAGTTATTTATATATTTGTTTATTCAAAATTCATCATTTATTGACAAAATTGTCACCTGTGGAAGGTTGAGCAATTGGTTAAATGAAAAGAGCAACTTTTTGATAGGTCATACAACACGTTTCAAGCATTATTTCAGAAATTTCGTGTTATTAAATATCTCCAATCTCTAATAAAAGTTACTAGGCGTCTCACAATGTTTTTTGGATATTTCTCGAAAAGGATAAGCGAGCAAATACAATTAATTGGTGACTAATTATAGGCAATTAAAGAGCAATTTTTTTAGCTATGTTTCATTAATATTGGTTAATATGGTGAGCCAACTTCACACGGGTCTCGATTGCGGTATTGTTCCAAATTTCGTATCTAAACTTTTGACATTTTTCTAGGGAATTTGATTCACGTAGGAATGCAAGTGGTCTGACTGAATAGAAATGGCATAGATAAATTGCACCCGGATGCAAACGTCTAATTAAATCATGTCTGATCATTGACACTTTCACTTTGTTTATAACCTTGTCTATCGTTAAGACAGCAGGAATGATCCGTTATATTTAATATACATTCTTTGATATCTTCTTTATACATAAATTAAAAATTGTGCGACATTCCCGACAACATGTCTTTAACTATTGAGAAACAAATCGAATTATTATTATCTGGGAATTCCTTAGAGATTGATGACACGCATGAAGAGATCCATGCCGCACAAACTGATGTATTAGGTAAAAATATATTTTACACGATTTTTTACACTAATAACTTTGAAATATCATTTGTTACATTCAGACATTGTGAATTTGAAAACTTCAATCAAACGATACTTTAATCGCTATTATCAAACATTATAAATATGTTACACAATGGGTTGAGAATTACACCGTATCACGTACGAATTTATGGTGTATTTAAAAATTGTTTACAGCATATTTATATTAACAACGGTCTCTGAAGTAGTAAAACATGTTTCAGGATCGAAAACGCCCAGTAATTATGTCCCAGTTTGCCAAAAGACTGTAGCATACATTGTTGCTGCTGTTGTTATAAACGAACATGGAGAGGTATTGATGATGCAGGAAGCAAAAGCCTCTTGTAATGGTAAATGGTATTTACCAGCTGGTCGAGTCCAGCCCGATGAAAACTTATTGGATGCTGTTAAACGGGAAGTTTTGGAAGAAACAGGCCTTATATTGGAACCAGAAACACTGATATTAATTGAATGTGCAGTTGGTTCATGGTTTCGGTTTGTTTTCACTGGCAAAATAATTGGTGGCAAACTGAAAACTTTAGAGGAAGCAAATAAGGAATCGTTGCAAGCTTGCTGGGTGCAAGATATAAATGATCTGACCCTTAGAGCGAATGATATCATTCCTTTGATAGAGAAAGCAAAATCTTATATTGTGAACAAGGATACCTTGCATTATCCAAATTTAATTCCAGCTACTAAATCATTAAACAAATTATTGTTGAGACTTGTAATTACTTCAAAAAAGAGAGCAACGTAAGTTAGCATACAATTGAAACTTTCAATTGTACTTGTCAAATAATACTTTCTTAAAAATTTATATAATGTTTTATTTGAAGTTTATTTTCGTATGTACAGGGTAATCATTCCTAGCGTTGAACTAGAATGAGTTATTAAAATTTGTTGCTTACCCTGTAAAACGTTATTGCTTATGCTTGACTTCTCTTTAGTATTTGCGCTTTCAGTATAAGGTCACTGGTGGTAGTTTTCATAACAGAACAACAACAATCTGACTATGACTATGATTGTGGATGAAGGCTTAGATTGGAGTATACTAGGTACACATTCACGCACATGCACTGTACATATACAATTACGACAATGATTTCACTTCTTGATACTAATTATTTTATATATTTTCTGATTTATTTGCTCTAAATCCTAATCGTCACGTACTCTTAACATATCTGTAAATATAAGTATAAATAATACATACTTTAATAACATTTTTGAAACGTATATCTCTAATGGATTCTAAAGTCACTAAATCATTTAATGAATTTCTTAATAACAAGTGTTAACATTTGACCATTAGCCATAACAATGTTATGCGTACCTTATACATTGAAAATCTGAAGATACACTTTATCAACAGGAACAAGTTACACGTTCTTACATCGAACGCGGAACCGGCTTATTTACCGACTTGTGAAATTAATCCAAATTGTAGTCTTCTTTCTACTTTGCATAATTTCATGGAAGTAAGTTGTTATCTTGTGTAGAAAATTAAATTGTGTGAGTAGAACTACAATAGAGTTTTCATCAAATAATTGTTGCAGGAACTGTTTGGTAGTGGAGTTGCACAGCATAAGCCACATGGTATATTGTCTGTAGAATTTAGCGGAGAACAAGAAGGAGACGGACTTTGTTTAACATTATTGGTATCGTTCAAGCTGCCTGTAGAGGATATACCTACTATTGGAAAGTATATTTGGCGCGAATTGCCCGATAATGTAGCCACAAATATATCTTATCGTTTGCCAAGAAATATGACACTGCCTTTAAATGTTATTCGATAAAGTAATGTGTGAATGTATATGTAATTATACATCAAACAATTTTGAGATCTTGTATCCAATGCACTCAGTCTTAACTTGTGGTTTTTAGATATAAAATTAAACAATCTTTAACACGATTAACAAATCATAACAAACCGCAAGTATAAATACGAAATATTTGAAATACCCTTAAAATTCATTTATAAAGGCGATTGATAGTTCAATTTATGAAATTACGATTACAGTATAGCATAAAGCAGTTATATTAACTAGTATCAGCATTTAACAATGACTAACTGAACAGAAAAAGATATTTATAATCATGATTTTACGTTTATCCTAGTCTATACCAATGATTTTTTAAACAGATGTGAGTATATATTGTATATCATTCACGGAAGTATATAGTGTAAGCAAATTAATATTAATTCGAATCATCTATATAAGTTTTTGTATTATTAGCGAAGAAACTGCAAGGACTTCGAATTGTTACCAAAAATTACTATATCTCT